AAAAAAAAAACAAAAGCAATTTATTATCAACTTAGTGTATCTATTGTGTGTTCTTGCGTGTATCTACCAAGCGATGGACTCTTTACTACTATCTTTCTCTGTCTATCTCTTTTTTGTCTTTGTCTTTTTCTATTTACCAACGTATTACGAGACAATATATATATAGCTACTCATTTTTCATTGATTTCATTATCATCATCATAACAACCATATGATGGTCCATATTTGTTTTGTTTCTCGTATTACTATTGTTAATAAAAAAATCAGCGTATATATATGATTACTGTCGAAAAATGATTTATGTCTTAAAAGTTCATAGAAGATATGGGATTTATTATGTGTTTGAGACAAGATTGGGGTAAGAAGATTTATTTTGTATGAATGTATTCATTTTTTTTTGTTTGGTTTTATTTTTAGATTATAGTCTATGATAATGAAAGGAGAATAAAAAATTCGTTTGGTTTATATGTAAATGATCAATTTCAGATTTTAGAATATATATATTTAAATATGATTTTGAAATTATTATTATTATTATTCTATTTGATTATTTATTGTTTTGCACAGTATGAAGTTGATCGAAATGGTTATGTTATGTTTTGTCCATGCATGGGTAAGCTACTGAGTACACTCAAAACAAAAACTATGTTCGGGATGGCTATCCTATTCCGATTAGATTTTCTTTTCGAGGTTTCTTAGAAAAATGATAAAGTTTTCAAGGCAGATTCATTGCGATAAGTAGGGAAAATGTTGCTGTAAACTCAAAATTTCCCGATACTTCCTTTGGAGAGGCAAGGGGGAGGTGCAAAGGCCAAGACTCCTTTCGCGAAATTCTATACTTTATTTTTGGGCTGCCGAATTTCGTAGGAATAACGTTTTGAAGAAAACAAACTTTCAGGACTTTTGTCACCAACTTATTTTGTATACAAAGAATAACTACAATGCAAGAGTTGGATTTAATGAAAGTAATAACTAACGGCGAAGAGCTCTCATTTTGAAGCTTTAATAAAAATCGAAAAAATTTTGAATTTAACATCTAAAGAGGATGGATCTCTTAAACTTATTGCCGCAAAACAGCGGCGGATCTAGAATTTTTTTGATAGGGGGCGATTCGATAGATATGGGGCGATTTTGATCAGATAACGAGTTTCGAAGTTTATTAGTATTAGTGTGAACCCTATTTAATGACTTTTCTGCTGGAAAAAATCGAAAATTTTTTTCTCGAATCGGGGCGATCGCCCCAAGCGCCACCCCCCTAAATCCGCCACTGCCGCAAAATTATTTTTTTAAATTGGCCCATATTAGACGCGTGTGTCGATCGACTAGACCACGACACGAAAGTAGACATTTGATTTTTAAAAAATTCCAGTCACCATCACCGTCAACTAATGCATCGACTTACACCTCTATACATGTGTTTATTGTAAATAGAATACTAATTTATTTTGATTTTTGAAGACTTTGACAGGAACTTGCGATTATGCAGAGTTCTAATGAATTCACTTCCTCACGATTGAATGATGTCAACTGATTAATCGCTTTCTTACTTAAAAAGGACTGAATTGAAGATTATCGATCATATTAAATCTTCAATACGAACATGAGAAATTCTAATGGGTCATCATATATGTAATTCTTTCAAGAAAAAAAGACCTGATAAATTCTTTTGTTTAAGGTCGATTCGGCAATCAAGCAGAACAATTTCTTAGCACAATATCATTTACTCGAACACTCAATCGAATTCTTATACTTCCTCTTTTGGATTGAATATCCATCATGAAGTATTCCTTCTGTAAATAAATATTCTATATATATATATTAATAAATCTCTATTGATTTTTTTTTGTCTGTATAGAATCAAATTCCATTTGATAGATATTTTCAAGTTGAACCATTACGAAATTATTTAAAAATTATTTTAATGAATGATTTTATGATTCATTTAGCTGATAAAATATGGCCAGAAGGAAAACGATATGGTATGTAATAAAAAAACAAAAGATTATATTTTAAAATGTATGTGTTTTTAAAGTTTTTTGTTATGATGCTCAAATAAATGAGAAAAGTGATATAAAAAGTTGTCATGCTAAAGATGGTAATCCATTTGGACCATTTTGGTCATATTTTAATATTGATTTTGATGGTGATGTTTTTTTTCAACCACTTTTTTATGATATTATTAATCCAAATGGTTGGAATACAAAGTATTTATTAGAAAATTGATTTTTCTTTTTGTTTTTAAAATTTTATATACTATTGTTCAATTTTAGATATCCATCAACAAAATATCCTGTTCTTGCATTTAGTGGACCACCAGGAAGTTTTCCAGGAAAGTTAAATTTTTAAAATTTAATTTTGAGTTTAGATTTTTTTTTTGATTCTTTAGCTGATCAACGTAATGTTCCTATAGCAAAATATTTTATTTATTCAAATTATATTCAAGAACAAGCAGAGAATTTTCTAAATAAACATCAAATATCACCAGATACTTTACTAGCTATACATTTAAGAAATGGAATAGATTTCGTAAGTGATTCATTTTAGATTGTAAACTCCCTGTTGCAATAGAAGATCGCCCTCCCTTTCCCGGAGCTTCTATTGTGACTCGTATAACTTTTACAAAAACTTATTAATATAAAAATCTTTTGCAGCGCCATCAACTTAGGGCATTCCAAAAGTTCTGGCCACGGTATTTAAAGGATCTTTTCGAATAAGAGAACCTATTCAGTAATGAAAAACGAAAAGTTTTTTGAGGTGCATCGAATAGTATGTAGTAAATCCTGTTTTCATAAGACTTTAAAGGAACTAGAATCAGTTTACTGATAGATGGCTACACATCCACACTCAAACATGATAAGTTTCTGAATATTGCGGTCCTTGGTATTAGTCTAAAATATTTGTTCTCACATACGATTTTATAGAGTTTTTGACGAGCCACAATCTCTTATATGTAGCATCTCCGGTCATCTTGTCAGTGTGAGTGTGTAGCCGTCTATCAGTGAATTGAATCTAGGTTCTTCAAAGTTCTATGAAAACAAGATTTACTACATATCAATCGGTGCATCTCACATGGTATATTTGATTTTTCATTTTTCAATAGGTTCCCTTATCCGAAAAGATCCTTTAAACGCCGTGGCTAGTACTTTTAGTATGTCCTAAGTATAATTAAATGTCTCCTAAAGTGACCTGTGCCGGAATTAGATGTATAACACTTGTTTCTGGTATGCCTCGGTCAGTTGAAATAGTCAACGGCTGCGTACGTATACACTGTACAGAGCTGTTGCCAATGGCTAGCTTTCTTTATCGGAAGACCGACTAGAGTAGTATTCATACGACTTGATAGCAGTTTTCAGTAGCTTCAAAATGACATAAAAACATTGACTACCATGAGAAATCCGAAGGAGATTACTGTCGAGATATTCTGAATCAGCTTCCAAAACTGAGTGAACTTACGTGAATTTCAAAAAAAAAACAATGTTTTTATCGCTTAGCCATCTGCTGTTTTCAGTTCTACTATCATTTTACTGCCTTAGAATGTGATTCCTGTTTAATTATGAGAGATACCGGGAGTAAATTTTTGGACAAAAAACTCATCCACCAAAGTCCACTCAATTTTGGATACTGATTGAAGATTTTTTTTTTTTAATCGAAATTTACTAAATACTAATTAAAACGGATTGAATCGGACAGGCTGTTCTATCTCATCTCTTTTCTTCTTTCACATCATATAACTATTATAATATAATATAAACATAATTATTTCTAGGAACGAGCATGTACATATGCAAGTGAAAAATCGAATTTTTTTGCATCTGCACAATGTCTTGGTTATAATCTTGAAAAAGGTATTAAATTAACACATGATATATGTTATCCATCTGAAGATATGATTTTACAACAAACTGAAAAAATGATTCAAAAATCAAAATTAACTGTTTTATATATAGCTGCTGATGGAAATCATATGTTAGATAAATTTCAAAAACATTTTATGAAAAAATATGATATAAAAATTATTAAATATGAACGATCATCAAATCAAAGTGAAGGTGAAGCAGCACATATAGATTTATATATATTAAGTATTGCAAAAAATGCAATTGTTAATTGTCCATCAACATTTTCAGCATTTGCAAAACGACAACGAGATAGATTTGATAAATCAACAGATTTTTGGGGTATTGATAATGATAAATTAATCAATGAACAAAATTCTGATCTTTAGAATGAATTTATTTTTTTCTTTAATCTGTGATTTAGCTTTTGCTTAGTATGGGAATGCTTCTTGAATACTCATATCATATGTTGTGAAATCACTTTTAGTAATTATTTATTCATTTTACTTTTTTGTTTTTGTTATTTAAATAAAAATAATACAGCAAAATATGTTCGGGGAAAGAATAATTAAATGTTAATTTATTAATTCGAAAGAACAAATTTATTTGACAAGTTATATTTAATCAAAACATAATTATTCTCAATGTAGGATCATTCACCAGATGAGAAGTATAGTACCATACAAAAGTCTAGTATTATCGATGTGTGGTGCTTGGAAAGACTAAATTTTAGGTCAATTTTCGAGATCGATAGAAATCAAGATTAATACCGAATTTTATTTTGATTATGATAGATATTGAAGATATGGTATTTAATAGAAAAAATATATACAATGAATAGAGTTAATGATTTAAAAATAAATGTTGGATATGAAATTTTATGCAGACGTCTGCTCATGACTCTCGATAGTTTTTCGAAGTGGAAGGAACTAACAATTTAGCAGATAGTCGGGAATCGTCTGAAACTTGGTAAACAGTTTGTCAGTAATAGCTCGAAATTTCTGCAGACAAGACGTAAGAAATGAGAGTTATGTGTTTTTCTCATTAGAAAAAATAAATACAGTTGAACTTCTCTATATGAGCACCTACTTCTTCTGAGCAATGAGCACTAGAAACCTGCATCGGACTTCGAAAGTCGACATGATTGTGAAGAATTGTTTTTGGTATCAATTACATGGTAACAAGTTTATTCTTCATATGTTAAGCAATAAGCAAAGATATACTACTTTATAGATTCATAAGTTCTAAGAAAAAAAATATCAGACAGACATTCTCATTAACAAGTAGCACTAAATGCAGCATATATGCCAATCAAATAATTTTCGGTGTTAACATCTGTACAATTTTATTTTATATCAGTTTGTATCATCATCTCTTTCGACATGTTAATAATTCATCATCAAAACTTTTGCATTCAATAAATATTCTTTTTTTTTACTAGCAAAAAGAAAATAAAGTTTCATACTCAGGTCAAAAAATACGGGCAGTTTTCGGTGAATATGAACGCCAGAATCGTTAACCTGGATACGTTGATTTATTTTTTTTTTTTAAATACATAATACATATTCGTCTTTAAAAAAAAAGAAAAATTACCATAATGGTATATTGATTTTAAGTTCAACAATAATTATAATATCATTCCTGAGATACACTAGAAGCAGCTGCAATATCACTTGTTGCTTCAGTTGCATGTCTTATAGGAGATGATGTTGCTATTGGTGTTAAGAGTTTTGATTTATTTTTTAAACGAGAATTTTTTTTTCGTTGAAAATGAATACTACTATTTGTTGGAAAACTTGTTAATGATGTATTTGCTGATGATCGATATTTATCATATGTTATTAAACGACGATGACGAGGAGGAGCATATGGTGGAATACAATCATAACCATTTAATTTTCCATATCCAGATGAATGTTTAGCAATAATTCAATAATAATCATCAATCTATTTAAAAAACAAAAAACAAGAAAAATTAATCTTTCGCATTTTGTTTTTATTTTTGTTTTCTCAAAGTACGGTTTTTGATTGTTTCTTTACATCAGATACTCTTTCATGTAAATCAATATTTAATGTTTTACGTACAACATCTAATACTATTGATGATTGAAAGAAATTTCTTAAATTAGGATCATCAAATGCTTCATAAGATGGACTAACTGATAATTGAGAATTTTGATTTGCAAAACGAATTGAATCATTAACAAATGATTCTTCACGAAAGCGTAATTCTGCATTACTTAAACTTGGTGCATAAAAATCTGATGAACGAAATGTTACAGGATAACCAAATTTAACATGAATTAATTTTGATGATGGTCTTATTATTCCTGATGGAGTAATCTAATTTAATAAAGATTGAATTTAATATGAGAACAAAACA